TAACCTAAACCTACCCTCTTCCAGTTTCAGCAATAACTGTTAATTATGAGCTCTCTCAGCTTTTGTAGAATGCCAGAACTCATGTAACCTGTGTGCTCCTGTTAGGTGCTCTTCAGTGTTAGGTATTGAAAACTACGCCTCCACTGAAGTATCTTTAGTATCTTAAAAATATTAGATATTACTCTTTGGGTAGTTTCAGATGTGATCAGATAGTGATCAATTTGTATGCTGACCTTTACCTAGTTATATAAAAAATTATTTGCTATAAATAAATAAATAAATAAATAAATAAACTCCATTTGGACAAACATAATTGTACATTTTTTTAGTATCTCTGCTTTGTAATAATAATGCCCCATTACCCACCAGAGGGAGCTCAGTGAAATGTAAGGGCCTGTTCCACCAATCTTGGACAAACATAATTGTACATTTTTTTTAGTATTTCTGCTTTGTAATAATAATGTCCCATTACCCACCAGAGGGAGCTCAGTGAAATGTAAGGGCCTGTTCCACCAATGTAAATTAGTGAGAGCTATTTGAAGGGTTATAAATAGATTTAAGCACAATTTTAGCAGTTAATGCATAGCTGGATGTAATTTATATTGGCTGGGAACTGTGATGTGGGTGGTTTGGGGTTTTTTGCTTGAAAGAATACTCCTTTTTTGAAATTATGTTAAAAAGAAGTGTTCACATTCTTGGCACAGATAATTTCATCAGAAAGTACTTCTTCATATGTGAGTTGCTGGCTTTTATATTCACAGCCATGGAGGAAACACCTTGAGTAAGTCTATTATTTAGAACAGCATTCATAGGAGTATGTCTGAATGTGCCTCTGTCTTCCATGAATATTAACATTGGTATTTTTTTGTACTGACATCTAATCAGTAAACATGTATACTGATGTACTTGCTGACCAGGAATACAAAAGGGTGTGACCACAAGACAGTCAATTTTCTTAGCAGATAATGTTAAATGATGCGTTTGCTTCTGACAGCTTTAAAAAGTTCAGAGTGGTTGACTTATTTCATCTGTCCACACACAGCAGAGGAATGTGGGAGTCAGATCCAGACTGGGGAGAGCACTGTGATGGAATGGCTGTGAAGAAATCTGTGGTCACAAGGCAATCTGGGTTGTGCACTGAGGTTTGTCATGCACTTGTGAGAAAGTTACAAGACAGAGGTGAAAGTTTTTTAATCACAGAACATCACGCTGCTGCTATTCCTTCATGTGCTAAATTGGGGATCTAGTTCATAAAAGTACCAAACTCTGCTTGTGCAGTGAAAGCACAAAAGACCATTAGTGGGGCTGCAGTTATTTTAGTACTGAAGTGCTCTGGCTTCAATGCAGTTTTTACTTTACATAGGCTATTTATCAAGGTTTTATTTATCTTTAATGCAAATACAGCAGTTGGCATAGGCTTGGGCTCAATGACCCCTATGGGACCCTCCCAACTCAAGATTTTCTATGATTCCATGATTAGCACAATAGTCATATTCTGATACTGGTTATTCCTCTTTCTGTAGAAGAACCATCTGCAATGCTCTGACATCTGTGTCACAACATAGCTCTGTTAATTCTAGACAGCTGAAAAAACATTACCTTAATGAAGTAAATATTCCAGTATAAAATTTTAGTGTAAACCAGGCTTGGAAAAGTGTTGGGATACATCCAAACAAAAGCTTCTTAATGCTGAGTTAAGGACAACAGCCTGTACATCCTACTGGTGCAAGCCGTAAGCAGCCAGAAAGCAAGCAGTTAAGGCAGCAGCTCACTCACCAGTTCCTCTTCCCAGCTGTACCTACTTCCTTTCCATCACTTGAAGTTCTCATATCACTTAACTCATTCTAAGCACCCAAAGCACAGTTTGGCATCTGGCTGCACATTTGTTATATCAGCACACACATCCTCATTTCGTTTCCCTAATTCCTGTGTTAAAATTTAGTATAAGATTAAGACAAATAACTAAATCCACAGACCACCTATCTCATATTTTCTAACCAGTTCAAGGAAACGAAGCATGCCTCACAGCAGACACCTGCAGGCTGGCAGAATTCCTTGCTGCCACATACCAGCACCAAACCACAAAACATCCTACGTAGCACTTGGAAACCACCTTGGGCACATGGTGATCATCAGACCATGTCATAAGATCGTCAGACAACTGGATCTGAGCTCCAGGCTGACGCTGCTTACTCAGTGGGGATGGATTGTGGTCAGGGGGATTAAAGGAACTGGGGTTTAGAAGGGGGAACTGATAATTGGTGCGTAGAAAAGCAGGGTGACTCATATGCCAAATCTTGTGCTTTCTACAGAATAAACCATGCAGTAGAGGAAGCCTGGGTTGAGGATAATGGTGATTTGTGAACAGTTGTCATCTTTCATTCATATGGGTATGAGTAACACATGACATTACTTATTAGGAGCACTGAAGAACCTAGAGTTGACTGGCACTGTCCCAAGCAAGGTAGATTTTTCATTCTTACAAAATAATCTACTTTGAATTTAAAGTGTCGGCCTCACAGTTTTGTTGTGCACCTGAAAGACCACCTTGATAACTCCCAGTTTAACATTGCAAAACCAAGTGACTCAGTCAAGGAAATGGAGAGGTTGAGGTTTCCCCTCCAGCTCTGCTTTGTTACCTTCCCTTCCTCCATGATGTGCTCCGTGGTGCAGTCATGCAGGTGGTGTCTGGTCTTGTCCCACAGAAGTACATCAAGATGAACAGCAGGACCCAGCTTTTGGGTACTTGCTCAGTCTTAGTCTTGCATTGCTGCACACCTTCCAGGCCTGTCATGAAGACAGGTAATAGTTTCATCGTGGGTTTTCCAGGGATATGTATCACCATATCATCCATGCATCTGCCTACCACGACATTCCACCAGGAGGCAGAAGACCCTCAGAGCTGTGGGTGCACAGGTATGGCTGTGGAAGTATGAAGATGGGAGACAAAAGTCAAAACCACCCAGGTTTTGTCAACTCTCCTCACATCCCTGCTGGACACGGCCAGTGCTCTTCCTGTTACATCACTGCCTGGACCAAACTTCCTTTCCCTGCAGCCCTATTCTTCCACCATTGCACATCTTGTACCTCCCACAGAAAGAGAGGCAAGACTCTTCCAGACAAGTCTCCCCTGTTCCTTTAGATGCTTCCACTTTGTGCATTGATCACGAAAAGAATTTTAGATAGGGAAAAACACCAAGTGGCTTTGTGGTTATTACTGTGACTAGTTAATTTCTGCAAGGTGTCCTGTGGCAGGAGGTGAAGCAGCAAAGGGTCATGTGGCAGAGCTCCCCAGCCACAAAACACAAAGGAAGGCTGAGAACACCTCTCTGTCCCAGCTGTCCCCACTGCTAACAGTGTGTAATCTTGACAAAGGCCTAGATGGTGGAAGCCTCTGGTAGAAGGTGACACACTTCCAAAGATCATTAATTCACAAATCAGCCAGAATAGAGGTAATTCTGAAACTTTTTTTTTTTAAAGGCACTGAACTCAAACTCACAGCTCCTCATCTTCCAGACTTTCCAAGTGTCAAGTCACCCTTGGCTCTGGCTGTTTCAAGACCGCATGAGTCATATCCTTGCTAACTGGAAGCCTTAAATTGAGTTTGTTCAGCATTCTTCACGACGGAAGGAAGTTATTTAGCAATGATAGAAAATGGAAAGCACAGGTCTTGTTTTTATTTTAAACCCATGCACTTCACTGTGCCTTAAGTGGTTTGAAGCAAATGCATTTACCATGATAGTGGCACTTTTGCTAACCTGAATAACCTGGATAACAGCAAGAAATACTTTGTCTGCAATACAACTGCAGTTCTCACAGGTTGTAGTCCCTTGTTAAACCTTTCATTGGTACTTGATTTCAAAAAGTGGCTTTTAAGTTTTTGAACTTCTAAACCCATCTTTGAAATAATTGCATAAAACTTGTTTTTATAGTCTGATAGATACAACAGGACCTAACATGCAGACCACTTCAACCAGAACACAAACCATATTGTCTACGTGGAAAATACAGGATCAGTATGATAAATGCTTTATTAAAAAGCCTAATTTCAGCTATTTAGTCAGCAGAGCTCCATTGTATCTAGAGAAAAACTCATCATGTCCAAATTGGAGACTTACCGAATATGAAAATATTATTCACTATTATGCTCTTGATAAAAACAGATAAGAGATGATAAGAGTTGGATGATAGATATAGCAGTTACCTCTCAGAAGGTTATTCCAGCTACCTTTACTCTTTACAACACCTGGATGATTTTCTGCATTATGTTGACTGTGCCACGTTTTCATTTAACTTGCCTAGGAATATTTTTGAGAAATTCAATTTCTCTACCTTCCTGCCTTTGAATCCCCCCTCCCCCAATTTTTTTTAAAGATAATTTTCAAGAGACACTAATTTTTCATCCTTGGTACCTCTATATCAGGTTTTTCTCATATGTATTGCAATACAATTTCTTGAGCTCTTGCTCTCAGGCACATGAGCATGCATGCAGGAAAATACGTTCATACAATGCTGTTATTTTTTACTTTAACTATAACTAAAAGTAGGGGGAAAATTTGCTTGCACATAGCTAAAGTCCAAGTTGAATATAAATCTTTGACTTAAATTAGTTTGGGATGGTTTAAGAATTTCATATTTATCCAGGCTTGTAGGCTGGACCACATTAAAAATTCGGCATCTGCACATCTGTAAAATATTTATTGAATTCTTCTATACTGGTCAGTACCTACAGGTTAGGAAAAACATATTCCCTGACTATTCTCAAAGTGCTGATTGCCACAAATGAGGCCCAACTTTCCTGCTCCACCTGACTGTGGCTCTCTCTTAGGTTTTTCTCCCAGCATATGGTCTGTAATTTTTCTAAATATATCTAATTTTTTCTAATATATCTAAAGCATAGTGACTGCACTTAAATGGAAAAGTTCAAGGTGAACATAGTTATTTGTAAGTAAAGGTCTGCTGTCTGATCCATTGCATAAAAAGACAGTCTGTCAACAAACTAATTTTATGTACTTTATATGGTTTACAATGAATTCACTGAAATCATCTGACTGCATGATGTTTTCAAGGCTAGATGGAAAAAACTTTGACTAAAATGACAAACTATTTTAAAATGAGAATTCTCCTGTTCAAAACACACAAACACAGGCAAAAAGGGGTAATTTCAGCTTCTAGTGGTGTTCTGTGCTCAAAGCAAGCTTTCATTTCTCTTCAAGTTATGTTTCCCAACAGTGCAAAACTCAAGACATTTCCAGCACTTCCAGGCCTAATATTCCAAGTGTTTTTTATTAACTATGTTTGGTTTTTTTTTTCTTCAACTATCCACAAGGTGCAGTGAAAATTGGATCCTCAGATAATAAGAGGAATAAATACAGTGTTACACTGCTCAGGGAGCATTCCAGCAGGAAGCACATCCCTCAAGAGTGGCGATTTCCCAGGTACAGCAGGAAGCAGTGCCAGGTTTGGATGCTGACACTGCCCTGGTGGCTCAGGAGGAGAAGTGGAAACAAGGTTGTCCTCTCCTGATACCTCTTCATGCTCTCCAAACAAGGTTGTCCTCTCCTGCTGCCTTTTCTTGCTCTCCTGCTGCAGTGCCAAGTGCTTGGGGTAACACAGAGCCAGTTTTCCCACCTGTGCTGCAGGGAATACTCTAGGCAATTAGCACAGATAAATTACAGGCAGCTTGTAATTCTTTTTTTGTCCCCTTTGCTGCCAGGAATTGTTCTGATTAACATGAAATTCCATTTTCATGACAGATTAATGATAATAATCAAAGCTAAAGTACTGGTGCAAATCTTAAGTTCATAGTTTTCAATTACTAAGACACAGTACTAATAACACATTAAGTTGAATTTGAAGCTCATGAAGATGTAACAAGCTCTATCTGAGAACATTCAGAACATAAGAGGGCTTTTCTGCATCCACTTTTAATGAAAAAAACTGCTCTATGAATAGAAATAGAAGTATAATGAAGTTTTTAGTTGATCTAAGAAAATACAGGGATAAATAGAGCAAGTAAAACTGACATTTTACTTGCCAGTTATTTATCACAGAACTCCTGTCCCTACTTACCAACCACTTATGTTTCAAAATAGACCAGAAATTAAGAACAAAAGATCCTTACAATAATTTTACTGACATAGTCTCAGTTGAAACGATGATGAAATTATTATTCTTGTATTAATTTTTCATTTCTTGCATGCCTAAAAGTACAATAAAAAGACACTCAATCTTTACACTTAAGGAAGGAAAGTTTGATCTCATCTGTTTCCTTTTAATTTTATAACTTGCAAATTATCACTGCAGTCCACTTGTTTGATAAAAAATGATTTTGTTACTTCAAGTTTTAATGTGCAGTTTTCAGATTTTATACAACAGTGTGAAGTTGACATGAAGTATAGTTTTTACTAGTAAGGAGATCTGCTTCAAGATAACTTCCAAACACTTTATGCATGAGGAAAATAATTTAAAAAGAATTTACCAAACTAAAATTAACATACATGTATTCCATATATTAACATTGTCCCAGTCCTTAGTATGATCCAAATTTCCAACACAGAGACTATTTATATAATTTTCTAGTGTGTCCATATCTTCTTAAATTGGAAGAAATATGTTTAGAAAAGAAACCTGATCCACTAGAACATATAATGGGGATAGATTAACTTCAATTATGTTACTTGAAATAAAACATTCATTATATAATGGATGAAATATCCATTATATTAAGCTACTGGGTGGCAAGCATTAAATCAAATTCAGACTTCTACATACTCTGTATCCGTAGTAAAGTTTTGCAACATATTAAACAGATCTTTATTTTAAAATCTCTTTCCAGCACAGGACCATTCCTGTAAGAACTGCCTCCCATGAGCTAGCTGGGAGTTATGAGGAGCCCTGTCTTTTTTGGTACTGTATCCTGAGCTTTTCCAGTTGCTCCACGCACTGCGTCTGGGCCAGCTTCAGTGTCCGGTTCTCCTCTGTCAGTTCTGCATACTCCTTAGCCAGCCGAGCAGCATCCATGCTTTCCTTTTCCACTTGTTCCAGTCTGGCAATCAGCTCCTTTCTGACAATTATGAAAAAAAAGCCCAATTATTAGAAATGGCAGTAGGCAAAAATTTGTTGTCCTGTGTTTGGTCAAAGATGGGCTGTGTGTTGTTAACTTTCTATTACTTGAACTTGTGTGAAACAAGGACCTAAAAAATTAATTTTTTAGAGTCCTGTTTTTTCCTTTTAAAAGACTAAGCTTCCAAAATCTCAGATTGGTTTGCTGTTCAGTGACCAAGCCTGAAAAATGCTGTGTTCATGTGTCTGTATTTGGGACTGTTCAGCAGATGAGAAGGCTTTGGAGAGCCCTTTCCAGTACCAAAAGGGGCTCCAACAGAGCTGGAGAGGGACTCCTGACACAGGTGACAAGACAAGGGAATGGCTCTAAACTGAAAGAGAGCAGGAAATGGGATACTGGGAAGAAATTCTTCCCTGTGAGGGTGTTGAGACCCTGGCACAGGTTGCCCAGAGCAGCTGTGACTGCCCCATGCCTGGAAGTGTTCAGGCCAGGTTGGATGGGGCTTGGAGCAACCTGGTCTAGTGGAAGGGGATTGGAACTGGGTGAGTTTTAAGGTCCCTTCCAATCAAAACTATTCTGTTGATTGTATGATTCTGTGATCTCTAGCTTCACTAAGAGTTGAGCACACAATTCACGGTGGAGAATCAGGTTCCTAGAGATGACTTGTTAATACTTTGCCAGAAGAATAACAATTTATTTTTCTCATGATACCAGGTATCACTGAAAGACAGTGAGGTGTTTTTGTTTGCTTGGTTGGATTTATCAGTAAGTTCTGTGAAGTGTGCCTGGTTTCCTTTTCTCTACTACAAACAAATCCAGTAAGTAGTAGGCACTGAATCTGAGCTTCATGTATTGCTTCTATAACGTGTTTAGATCTTAAGCCCTGTTGCTGAGGAAGAGCTGCAAACCTGACCCCTCCTGGTCCTCTTAAGTACAGACACAAGAGGATTGGAGCTGTGACTTCTGGATGGAGTCACACAGTGCCCTGTATTCCCAGAGCTGGCCAGGAGCTGGATTTTCCTGTATAGTATCAACTGAAATTACCTCAGCACAAGTTAAGATAAAAGAGGTCTTAAAACACACTGAAGGCATGAGTAACTCTCAGAGTATCTAATGCTCTCCCCTTAGTCACCCACCAGGCTAGCCTGGCCTCTGGGTTTCTTTTTCCCTTTAAGTCAAAAATTCACCCATTACAGGAAGTTTCTTCTAAAAGGTTCTTTTGATCATTCTGTCTCAGAGATTAGTTAATCTTTTAACCGTTCATAGCCCTGTGACTTTATTTCTGTCATGTCAAAACAGTGCTTGTAGATCATCAGTGGGAAGTTGTTAATGCTTTCATAATGGGTAGATTTCACTGCAGTCCTTGGAGCCCACTGGTCAGGCTAGAGCAGTGCTTTCAGACAGGAAATTCCTAGAGATCTGCAATTCTATTCCCACAGGTCAGAGTATTCATGAAAAGATAACATTTCTGTTTTTCTGATCACTTGTGTTACTCATAGCTGAAAAGCTACCATGTAGAGCAGCAAAACTGAAAATCTGGCTTTTGAAAAGCACTTCTGTGTGGCCTTCATTTAGGATCAAGTTAACCTTTCTCTGTCTTTACTGCAGCTTTCAGTGACTGCCCGTGGTTTAGTTGACTGTTTACAGTCACAGTTACTGCAATTCAAGGAGTCACAAGTTAGAACAGACCCTTGGTACAGCCATTTCTACCAGCTGTGCTTCCCATAGATTAAAAAAAAAAAAAAACCAACAAAAAAAAAGAGTTAGCAGCTGTTACAGAATTTTTAAATCAGCCAAAGAGGCAGCATATAGTCATCCTCCTATATGATAGCTTTGTTTTATACTGCCGAGGTAAGGCAGAGCAGCTATGCTGCTGCAAAACCTCTTCTTTTTCCTTTTACCAGGTGACAGGTGCATTCAACCAGGCCTTTGAGAAGAAACATCATGAGGGTATTTTTGCTCAGTAGAATTCTGTTTACATTTAACACAATACAGTTGTACAAGTTTTAAACACAGCAAGCCACTAACAGGTTCATTTCTCTGTGGCTGGGCCATTCTAGATCAAGAAGATTTCACAGAAGTTGAGACAGTCTTGCTAGACAGCTCCTATTCATGGGCCTGAGGCTGTGCAGGAGTGAGTTCACATGAGAAATACATTCAGGGACAATGAGTTTTTACAACTCCAGATGTTTGGGGGGGGTTTGGTTTATTGTTTGTTTGTTTTTTTTGTTTCTCCCTGGTGTTCGTCTGGAAGGCTTTTATCTCTGGAGACCAAATAAAAACTTCTGTAATATTTTTTTGTAATTATTCTCTGGTGCAATGTTGGACTGAAGGGCTAAATTAAGCTCTTTCAAATTACAGACTGTTAATTCAGAAGTGTCCAAAGGAATGATTTCAGAATCATTCTTCCTTACTTTTCTTACACTCATGAGCTCTTTGAAAGGGAGATGCAGTGAACACACTACTAGGTAACCAGCATCTTAAAAGCAGGTAAACCTTTTCTGTGGGAACTTCCAGTACTTGAAAAGGAATGGTACTGACTGTCCTGGACCTGAGCCAGGAGAGGCACAGACAGACAACGTGCAAACTCAGACATCTCTGGTAATGAAGGTCAGTTCTCATTTGATGACATCCTCTGCAGGCTTGGCTTTCATGCTTCTCTCCAGTAATACTCAAGCAGCACAGATAACTTCCCTCCCCAGCATTCAGATTTGCTATCAAACAAACTATAAATGCATTAAAATCAAAATACACTCATTGCTGTAGTCCACACTCTTGGACCTCCCTCACAGAAAGCAGTTTCCTTGCACTGAGGTAGTAAAATTGCCCACTTCTGAGTCAGCAGAACCTACTTAGTCCTTTCCCATCAGATCATCACCTGTTTACAGGATAGGGTGATGTTTCAGGCTGATACTGTCAGCCTGCCACAGATCTAAAATTAGAGTACCAGGGAATTGCTAAATGTTATGAATGGTGTAGTTTATGTAGCTCACAAAAGGATGAGGACAGTAACTAACATTTACATCTGATCTAATCCAAGATTTGAACTTAGCTTTCAGAGGTTAAAGAACACCATGCTAAGCTCTTGCACCATCTAGACTTTGTTGGGGATGCTTAATAAATAGATGTAGCACTGTGTAATCTGTGTTTTCTGTTAATGGTTACCCCAAGTTTAAATATTAACAGTATTGATAAGGTATTTTCCAAACTAGTGCTGAGGTACTCAAAGCTTTGAGACAATCTGTAACATGCACTTGAAGTGTTCTTTTTTGGGGAGGGTTTGGGAGGCAACATTAGTGATTTGCATTGTAAACCTATAAACCACAAGCAGGAGAAAAACATAGCACTGTCTTAGGGAAGCAATTTCTCTTGTTCTGGCCTTAAGGACTAAACATGAAGGGAACAGAGCTCCTCAACACTCATATTCACAAGGAATAAATACAAAGAAAAGTGACAAACTAAGCACATAAATCTGTCTGGAGATAAGTGTATTTGGAGATGGACTACACACAAGGAAAACAGTTTCCAGACTACACAGACTCAGATTTGCCTCTTCCCCATTGTGAACAAGGTATTCAGGATCATGTGTCTGTGCCAGTACAGTATCTTCTCCAACAACTGGTGTGTACTGGTGGCCATAAGGTCATTTTCTCTTCCCACATTTGGCATGGCTTTCCTATCAGGGGGAATTATGAGACCCTGCAAGGTAACTGCTGTCTTGGGGAGACTGTCCTGGCATAAGTCTACTAATTAATTTAAAAAACAACACCATTAAAGACATTAATGTCTGCTTTAATGTAAATGAAAATGTGTCTCAGATGCCAACACATAAAAGGTCACAGAATGACAGAATAGTTTGAGTTAGAAAGAACCTTCCAAAGGCAAGGACACTTCCTTTAGAAGAGGAGGTCTCTTTTTGTATTAGAAAAGCTGTAATTTAATTTCTTGTATTTGACAAGTAACATATATTTTGCATATACGTGAGATAATGAAAAAATAGGTCTAGAATGGCAAAATTATTGAGCTAAAACGTTGCCTTTAAGGTTTACACCAATCTTTTTCTGAAGTACCTAGAAGTCTAAAAACTACTTGTCTTCACAGTGTTGGGAAAAAACACTCAAGAAACAAGAGTACCTGAGAAATCCTCTGGACCAAAAAGCATAGAAACAGTCCTATGGTCATGAGAGCAAGCTAAAACATGTGAAAGCCTCCCACAAAATTAAGCAGTCATCTCCACTGCATGTCATTTGCCAAGAGGGCCACTGGGATGCTGGATTTTGTCATCAGTAGCGTGTCCAGCAGGACCAGGGCAGTGACTGTTCTGCCTGCTGGGCACGGCTGAGGCCACACCTCGAGTCCTGAGTCCATCTCTGGTCCTCTCAGAGAGGCACTGAGGTGCTGGAGTGTGCCCAGAGAAGGGAACAGAGCTGGGGAAGGGTCTGGAGCACCAGGAGCTGCTGAAGGAGCTGAGGAAGCTCAGCCTGGAGAAAAGGAGGCTCAGGAGGGACCTTTTCACTCTCCACAAGTCCCTGACAGGAGGGTGCAGCCAGGTGAGGGTCAGGCTCTGCTCCCAGAGAACAAGGGACAGGGAGAGAGGAAATGGCCTCAAGTTGTGCCAGGGGAGGTTCAGATTAGATATCGGGAAAAACTTTTTAATTGAAAGGTTTGTAAAGTACTGGAATGTGCTGCCCAGGGAAGTGGTGGAGTAGTTAAAAGAACAAAAAAACATGTGGAGTTGGCAGTGGAGGACACAGTTTAATGGTGAACAGGGAGGTGGTGCTGGGTTGGTGGTTGGACTTGATAATCCTAAAGGTCTTTTCCAATCTTAACAATTCTATGATACCGTGTCTACTCTAACGTGTAAAAGAAGGAAAAGAAATCATATCCACGGCCAAGAAAATGAGTGTTCCTAAACCAGGTGGTGGTCGAATGATATTTTCTGTAGAGTTATATTAGAATTGTCTGGGGGAGGAAAAGGAGATAACCATCCAGTGCTAAGAATATAAGATACAGCTAGCAACCATGGCAACTCTAATATTTAACTACATAATCCAGGGTCATTATCTAGTAATAGCAATATAACAAGTGCTCAAAATAACCAGCCATCTCATCCCTTTCACCCAAAGTTAGATACCCAAAACCATCTGTTATGGAAATACGTGTGTGTTTCTGGAACATAAATTAAATTACATTCTGTGCCCTAAATGTGGTGTGTTCTCGCTTCCACACCCTTTTCTTTATTTTCAATCATGTCTCCCATTCCAGAGTGGCTTTTTTCCCTTGTACTACGTATTGCTGGCATAAATGTGAAGAGTGGGAGTGAAGACAGCAAACAAAGCTATGATTAAATTAGCAAAAAAGTCTACCCACTGTTCTTTCAAATTCTTGCTTGCTTTTTTATTTTTGAGTAACTTATTTTCCCATCTTTATTTGCTTTGTCCTGTGATTTTCCCTTTTTTGATACTACAACCTCTTTTTCTCTCTCACATTTCCCATTTTCCTGTGAAATACTTGTCATCTTCTCTCCCACTGCCAGCCTAGTACCTTCTCCTAACATCTATATTGCACAAAAGAGAACAAGTAAGTAAGTTTGCTGTCACCCTAACGAAAAGCAACCCTTGTAATTTAGTTTCATTGACTTCTTACTTTGGCCATACTCGATGCTCACATTGCTCATCAAGCTAAGCAGAAGCAAAAAAGTTGTAAAAGATTCAGTGTTTTTCACTATTGTTAAAATAATGTTTTACAACTTTCTATGTCTTATAAAATAATATAAAAATATACCTGTATATATTGTTTCATGTATGAAAGGTTACACTGAACTTTGGAGGTTGGAACAAAAATTATTTAAAATAGAATTAATTCTATTTCTTTTTTTTTTTCCTAAAAAGCTCTAATACCTGTACAGATATTTGTCAGGTTAACATTATTTCTTCCTCCTAGCCAACAAATAAAAAATATTTGCTCAATCAATTTTCTGCTTTTTCTGTCAGTCATAGCCTTCAGCATCCTGTATGTGCTATCAGCAGGCACCACAGGTGCAGGAACTGCCAGGTGAGACTTGCCATTGGAATGCCACAGGTGAATTGATCTGTGGAGAGACGTTGGGAGCACTGGCAAGGATACCATCCAACAGCATTTGTGAAAGCCTTTGGTAAAAATGTACACTGAAAAACACTATAAAAGCTGTTTGTTCCCATTACAAGGGATGCAACTTGATCAAAATACTATTTGCAACTATATGTTAATACTATATGCAACACTTAAATACTATTTTTCAAAATAGTATTTAAGAGAAATAGACAGTAGATTGTAGGTGTAGTAGACAATTGGGCATCTTCATTTCCATATGTTCAAATTCAAATGTAGAAGAAGACACCCACAGCAGGGGCAAATTTTAGAAAATTGCAAACTCCGTGTTTTCAATTTGATTGTAATTGGTTTTGAGGCTAAAAGCTTGTGCATTTCATCAGACTTTTCAGACAAGTGAAAGCATTCTTCCCTTTTAAAAACTGAATACTCTATACTTCCAGTGATGGGCAGCCAGGGCTGTCTGGGCAACCATTTCCAATGCCCCAACATCCTCACAGGGAAGAATTTCTCCTTAATATCCAATCCAAACCTACTCTCTATCAGTTTAAAACCATTCTGTTTTGTCCTATCTGTACATGCCCTTGTAAATCCTCTCTCTCCATCTTTCTTGCAGGCTCCTTTCAGGTAATGCAAGGCCACAATTATAAGGTGCATATATAAGTATATACAAATATAAGAATATACACAGGTATTTATATACATATATATATATATACTTATATGTACACACACAATGCAAAACATGCCTGCCACCCCAGCCATTATAATCTACTCTTCATTCAGTATATGCTAGTCCCTAAACTACTTTTAACTCTCTTGCTGTAAGTGCTGAGAATGTTTTTAGACATAAATCAGTGAACAGGAGAGCAAAACTCCCTTTTACTTCTCACTTATTCCTTTGCCTCCACACTTATAATCCCTTTCTATCAAGTTTTAGATAAAAATCAAGGCTGTCATGTTCAGGTTTGTTTGCTTACATGTGTGTAAAGTTACATGTGTACTAATAACTTTCTAATCCACCTTTCAATTTCAACCAAGCCATGTGGTAAAGAGGTCCCAGTTAGTTTCTGGAGGGTTTAATAAAAACAGACTGCTCCAGAAAGGAAATATACATAATGGGGGAATGCAAAATGGATAATCTGCTTGGAGGAAAAAGTTATAAGCAATCCACATCTGGAGAAAAAATATCTTCAATTTGCACTTGCAGTTTAAACTTCAAAATTAGGCAACCAGAGTGAACCAGCTTGTAGGAAATTAAACGTCTTTGATCCCAGTGCTGTAGGATCACTTTTTCAGATTAAGACACACATGAGGTGTGAAAGGTGCTGCCCTGATATTTGTCATGTTTAGGCATTTCACTGCTATATACAGCATGTGAACATAAGGCTACAAATATGTAATTACAAAGTACATATGGGTCTCAATAAAATAATTCCATTTGTTGCCTTACACAGCCACTCCTAACATGTTTACTGGGGCATGGAATTCCCAGAACAGGTTCAGCAAAGACAGCAGTGATGGAAGCTTCCTGACATTGTTCCACTGTTGACATCCACTGGTGGAATGAAGGAAAATGCCAGCCTGAAGCCCTTTAACTCATCCAAGACAAGCACCATTGAGAGGCTGACCTCTGGGCTCAGAGGTTGATTAGGATAATTGTGAGTTTAGGTAAATAATTTTGTGCACGTACCTGCTATTCTCAAGAAGCAAACCATTTCTAATTTAGCTAGTACCACAGACTTAGAGATAAAAAAATTGCATTCAAATGGCAATTTTTTTTTTATTCCAGAAAGTGCAAAAATATACATGAATGTCTCATTTTCATGAGCTCCAAGCATTCTTCATAAATAGGCATAACTGATTCAGGGTTGTGCCAATAATAATAATAATGGATTTATATTAGTAGAGTCCAAAACCAAAATGATTGAAGGCTACCTTTGGTGTTTATACAACTAAAGTCAAGCACTTAAACAATAATTTAATATTTTATATTGCGCTTGGATTTTCAGAGTAGACAAAGACACATGGTTTCCACAGGATTGATTGCTAAATATGTATGTAAGCAGCTTGTATCAGACAACCAAATTTGAAAAATCATTGCAAATTTAAAAAAAAATACTTATCTTCTAATCTCTTTAAAAACACTAATGGCTTTTGATTGGCCAAGTTCAATTAATGGTGAATCAAATGCAAAATGCATTTTCCCATGACATTGGACATCACCTTTTTTAGCTTTTGTTCCAGTCTGTCAGCCTCTGAGTGCCACACTGATCCTCCAGTGGAAGGGGGTTTGCAGTGGGAAACTTCAACTAGCTTTGACACTTTAGGCAAAAAGTAATTCTATTATGTCTACAGCCATTAACCCAGATAAAGACATCTCAGTTTCTTACCCTGCATAGTTTGGATTCAGGGAGTTCTTTGGCTGTCTTGTAGGACTACAGAATTTCAAGTTTCCCTCTTGCTTCTGCAGCTGAAGATTCCCATGGATGCAAACTTGGCAGGGTCAGCTGGGCAGAGATTTCACTATTCACCTTCTTTCTTTCTCTGAACTTCTTTTTTCAGGCAATTTAATTTCTTTTTCCTTTTCTTGTGGAAAAGGATGGACAGCCACAGAGTGCACTTTGCCATTTAATAGCCAGGCAAAAGATGACAAGGCTATGAGTACAGGCATAGACAAGAAAAAAGCCTCCAGCTTATTCACTTTGTGTATAAACACCTGAAATGCCAATGCATATTGAACCAGTGTGCACAAAAACAAAGCACCTCACAGAAACATGTTTACTAGTATTGTCAAGTATTCTAAGCCTAAATGAGGATCCATTTTGTTCTTCATTAAAGGGTGTGACGTTCATTGAAAAAACGAAAATTGAAAAGGAACCTGCACCAGATGGACTGGATTGTTATGTGACCTGGAGGCTGTCAGTGAAGCTTTTAAGGGACACCCACAAAGCTGAACTGTGACAGCCCTTAGTGGCCTCAGCTGATCCTGTAGAGCAATGGCCAACTTGTGCTCCACATCAGGCAGAGGCATGAAATCCTAGGATCCTAAGATGGCTTGGGTTAGAAGGGACCCCCAAGATAATCCAGTTCCAGCCCCATGCCACCAGCAGGGGACACCTTCCACTAGGCCAGGCTGCTCCAACCTGACCTTGAACACTTCCAGGGATGGGGCAGCCACAGCTTCTCTGGGCAACCTGTGCCAGGGCTTCACCGTCCTCAGAGGGAACAATTTCCTCCCAATATCCCATCTATCCCTGCCCTCTGTCAGTTTGAAGCCATTCCCCTTGTCTTGTCACTCCAGGCTCTTATAAATAGTCTCTCTCCATCCTTCTTCTAGGTTTCCTTCAGCTACTGGAAGGCCACAATTAAAATATATGTATAAATAAGTATATACATATATAAGCACGTATGTATAGAAAGTCAGAAAATACAAAGTTAAACTTTCATGTTTCAAACAGGGTTTTACAAAGAGAATATAGGACAGTAAATCCTTTAGGAAAGTTACTCACTTTCTTTCTTCCAGCAGAGCAATTTCTTTCTTGACCTCGTGGTATTCTTCTGCTATTTTGCAGTGCTGTTTATACACCTGCATAGATTCCTTAGAGTCATGACAAGGAGGCAGAGGCTTTAAGAAAAAAAAAGAAGAAAAAAACCCCATTGTTTTTTGATGAAATATTAGTTTAAACCCACATATTTTGAAAGATACAATATTTATCTAAATTCTTGTGAGAATACCTAAAGAATTTTCCCCCTTAACTGCAGTATATGGCCAACTATTCCTAGTGATGGTGTTTCATGGAAGGAAAAAACCCAAACCAGTTCCCTGCATAAGAATATGTGTGAAATTTCAAACATATGTGTAAAACTTCAAACATTGTGAAAATGTTCAGAACTCTCCTTGTCAGCTTTGCAAAATATCCCTGAAGATTTTTCAAAGAAGGATTTCTCCCTTACCTCCCTCTTTTTCAGCTAGAGTGATAAGTAAATGCTAAAGCTGACGCATTGATCAGACCTATCACATACATCTTTACACGGCCAGGAACTGACATCATTGCAGCAAGATCATCTTTTTTTCAATGCATACTGAATGTAGTAAATATGGCAAATAAAACCAAGCTGTTCTAGGACTCCTTATGTAAATTTCATCAAAATTCTTGAAAATACATTTTGGTTAAATGTAGGTGCTTTTTGCTCCTTAAAAAAGAATGCATCTTAATTCAGGCTTCAGGTTTGACTGTCACATTTTGGTTATAACACATTCAGGAAGTATTTTTGAGTTATTAGCCATGAATCTAATTACTGTAAATGAACTCCAAATAGCATCCTTGAGCCACCTGTTTGAAGTAAAAGGAAACACTTAAAATAGTTCATTTACTGCCCATTTAAATAACATCCAATTGCTTTTCACAATATTAGTAGATTGTTTTGCATTTCTTGCTGTCCTACCTTGACTCTTCTGTGTAGCACAATATTCCCTTAATGACATTATTAGGAAAAGAAAAGCACAAGTAGTCAGACTTTTCCTGTTTATAATCTTGTAATCTTTTGTTTAATCTAAACTGAAAATTCAAATTTTACTAAACATGTTAAAAGACAAAGATTAAAAACCATTTTTGTTCAGGAGACAGGGTAAGCTGGCTTCAGACATAACCCAAAGCACAGATGTAAGTAATGTATGGAGCTTGCAAGTACTTGTAGTTGGTATGTGATTCCTCACTGAAATTTTGACACTCATATTCCATATTCTAAATTTAAAACTGCTGCAGCAGAATTGTTTCACAGCACATTGTTTCATTCTCCCTGATCTTGGAGATTTTGGGAACCCAGGGAAAGGGCAGCCCAATACTTGATGAATCTAATCCCTAGAAAAGGGTTTTTAATTGCATTTCAGTGTGGATGAGCAAGAGCACCATTCATATAGCCACCCAAATAATAAGCATAAATTTAGCAAGACTGAATATAGAAGTCTCAGTGCTCTAATCCAAGAATGCATGGATGAGCCAAAGCAGCATCTCTGCTATCTACCAGAGATCAGCTACCAACAAGTGTGTCACAATAAAACAATTTTGAACAGTACCAAGGGGAAAGTCCCCAAACAGTGATACTTCAAAAGAAAAACACAACAAAACAAAGCAGAAAAGACCTTGGATTTGCTTTCAATTTAGTTTCCACTAATCTAGCTGGTTTAAACCAGTTTAAAAATTAAAACAGTGCTCAGTTTCTATATTCCAGCTTCCCACTCAAAAGATATATATAGAGAGCTAAAAATTATCTAGTCATGCTGAAACTTAGTATCTAAGGCTCACTTAGAACCAGTTGCTGACTTTTAAACCCCTTCCTATTATTGTTTCCTTTTCAGTGACATTTTCTCTTACACTGATATTTTACCACTTAAATTAAAAATCAGTTTACTAATTTCTATTCATAAAATTCTTTTAAATTTGTCTGATGGTAGTAAGCACTATATCAAGCATCTTTTAAATTATTGGTGTATATTTCTTTAAAACATAAATGTTACAATGTTTTCAAATGACTAGATAGAATATAATTGGATCATACCATAGAGTGGCTTGGATTGGAAAGGACCTTCAAGAGCATCAAGTTCTAGCCCCTCTGCCATGGGCAGGGACACTTTCCACTAGGCCAGGTTGCTCCAAGCCCTGTCCAACCTGACCTTGAACACTTCCAGGGATGGGGCAGCCGGAACTGGAGAATATGGTGTGCTCCTCTGTAATCTGGAAACTTCTAAGACAGGCTCCAGAGATATTATCTACAGCATCCATGAGTATTTCTGGTCAGTAGCATACGAAACTGCATATTTAGCAAACACTTTCTACTGCAATAACATGGGAAAAGGAGAGATACAAATCTCCATTCCACGTGGAAGAACTTTTTTAATGGTCTGTGGCCAGGAAGTGGGAAGTACTGCAGATACTGCAGTACAGAATGCCCAATGGCATTCCATGAAGTCTGTATAACATCTTTGTGTTAAGGGATTGCTAGTTTACCAAGGTGACTAATTTCAGAAGGCCTTAATAAAGTTCAATTTGCATATGCTTTTTTTTTCCACTGAGAAGTAAACAGCCATACTTTACTTTCCTCTTAGAACAGCCTGAGCTTGCTGTACCTTGCCTGTCCACAAATTAATATAAATAAAACATACCTGCTAGACAAGCAAAAAACATGCCTGCCACAGTAGGTTACATTTAATGGCAACAGTTTCTACTTTTAATCCTGTTTATTTCAGGCTTCAGTGTCATCTACCCTCATTTTCCTGTGCTGGCAAAATATGCACGTGCAGCACCTCTGATCTTGTTCACAAAGCTAGTACAAAAGCTAAAGCTGTAAGTCATACTGGTGGTCTGTCCTATTAAGCCTGATTTTCAACAAGGTCTGATTTTTCCATGTATTTTGTTGAGTAACTCACTGTAACATTGAGAAACATTCTACAGAATTCAGCAAGTAGACATTAAGAGTTCCTTTTATAGACCATCCTGTAACTGCACATATATATGTAGATCTTTACAAGACATATGTACTGTTCATTCAGACTTTTGTTCAGACATGAAAGGTGTTGGAAGATGACATGCAAAAGCAGTTTTTGAAGAAACAGAAAATCACAGAACCTTTGGGTTGGAAGGGACTTGCTTTCCTTGCAGGAGAGGTTCTCCATGCCTTTAATCATCTGGGTAGCCTCCTCTCTGCCTGCTTTTTAAGGCAGGTTGAAGGAGGTCTTCTAAATAAAATATTTGGTGGGGTGACACAGAATGAAAGTTTTCAGGTTTGGGCTTTTGTTTTTTGGCTTCCCTCATATGACAAGTTTTTTTGCCTTGCCATGTGAAAATCAGCATTCCATATCTACAAAAGCTCTATAGTTGACAGTGTCAATCAACTGTTCAAAAGCTTTAAACCAGTTGATTTTTAAATTCACCATCATTGCACTTATGTGTTTAACTGTGAAAAAAATTAAAACTTTCTCCTGAAATAGTTGAAGTTTCAAAAAAAAAATTGTATCAGGCAGTTTTTTCAGCTCACATGAACTTGTCTAGAAGTCTTCAGTACTGATCTAATTAAAGAGTGGTGTCTTGCTTTTTGTGAATTCGGTAACTTTCAGCTGAACTCTTCTGGAAAAGTGGAAAATCCAATGCTAATATTTTGAATGTGGTCTATGTTCATTATATGGCCTTGTGCACTCTTCTATGATAGAAAAACCCACATTGTGCCAAGCAAAAATAGCACATGGCAGCTACTTTTTGTTGTGCAACTGGAACCCTTCCACCAGTTTCAGATACCCATCTTAGGATACATCTAGTCTAGTCTAGTTTTACTATGAAAGTAAACAGTTATCTTCCAAACAATTCAGGTCAACTGGATGAAAGCAATTGTGAGTTTAGCTCTCCTTCCTGGGAGATTTTCCATTCTTTTCTAACCTTAGTATGATGCTCTGACTTGGTGAACATACATGTTAACATACATGCATAAAATGGTCTTACATAATCTAAGACCAAAGTTATCACAGCAGCATTACAGGAGACTTATCAAGTTCGTAGGCAATCAGATCTAATTATAGAGCAACAGAGTCCTCTAGGAATTCTCTTGGAAACCAATACATAGTAAAAAAATTACAGCATCCTCTTTAAAAACAAAGTATGCTTTTAAACTTTCGAAAATTAATTTATGTATCTAACAAAAATCCTGGCATTCAGTAGAAGCAATTAAAGTTCCAGAGTAAACAAGGTTTCTGCTAAATGCTTATATCACACACAATGCACTGCTCCTTTCATAACATTTGCATTACTTTTATATGAGCATTTTCTACTAAAGTGAGAAAAACTATCCTTTGACTTGAGGCTGGATGTTATAAATGGTTGGAGCTTTTTCTTTGTTGCAGCAATTTTATAGTCATCTAATGACACAGATTTGTAACACAAAATATAACATAAATGTCTCTCAAGCTCACAAGCTCATTTCACGAGACAAGATCACAGAACCATTGAATTGTTTTGTGTTGGAAAGGACTTTAGTGATCACCTCCTTCCACCCCCCTGCCAGGGACACTTTCCACTAGACCAGGTTGCTCAGAGCCCCATCTAACCTGGCTTTCAAAGGTGAAGAACTATATGTGTATACATATGTGGCTTGTGTTCTTCCCTCTTCAGATGAAGCTCTCATCTGGAATAAAGATTTTGATGGGGAACAGAGAGATGAACTGAGCAAGTCACAGGAAGTGTTGGAACGGGACAGGCAATGCACAGGGCACAGCAATGCAGGTATGAACACTAGATACCCTCCTCCCCATTCAGTGACCTGAACAGCAAGGCCTTGGATGCTGATGTATGTTTCTAAACACAGCAGATAACCCGTAGTAGAATTTCTGTCAGAGGGGTCACTGGGCAGCTAATCAAGGAAGTGCCTTCCAAGGACCCATCCAGACAAAGCAAAGGTTAGAGTTTCCCAGTGACAGAGTGACAGGTGTAGCCAGCCCACCCTTGCTGCACTGCACACACGGAAGGGGGGAAAACCCTCAAATAAGCAGGTATTGCTTGTCAGTGGGAAGAGAATAATTTCCAATACTGCAAACAAAAGGAATTGAAAACAAGAAGATTATTAATATGAGTTTTGTTTCACTGATAACTTAGCAGGAAGTTATTTTAGTTGTGTGTGTGTGGTTTTGGTTAGTTTTTTTTAAAATTAATAATAAAGCTGCAAATATAGCTTAAATTGATCTGTTCTCATATGAAGGGCTTTCATGTCTGGTTGACCACAGACCACATAAAAAATTTGATATAAAATAGTTGAGTTATTTTTTTGCAAATTGTTTCTTGGAATGTGTAGAAAACTGTAACATTCAAAAAAGTGATTTGAAAATAAAACATGTTAGTCTGAAGCTAGCTAGTACATCAGAACACACAGACTGATAATTTTTATTCTTCAGAAAGAAGCTGCAACTAGAACTGTCCTTTAGTAAGAGTCCTTATAGAGGATTAGCTCTTTTGCTAAGTCTCCTAGAAATACCTTCCCTCCAGGCAATTCCACATCCACCTCTGTAGAGCTGGGTGCTTGGACAGCAGGGTTTGTTGCCCTGCCAAGGGGAGGCTGCACTGAACTTTGCCCTGCCATTTGATACTGCTGCCCAGGGAATAGGTATGGAAGAATTGTGGGAGGAAAAGTGGGACCACTAGGTAATTCTGCTCAAATAGCCAAGTTGTCTGCCAAGGCCCAACATAGGAGGACGAGAGCTTGAAGCCCAAAACAGAGGTGCAAATTGCTTGGTACTCAGGCTGTGGTCTGCTGCCTGCATGAATAGAATTCTAAGGCTCTGATTTTCCAAGTGACTTGCTGAACTTACATAGCATTCAAGCTGCTTTCAAAATTAAGCTTAAAGATCATCTAATTTAGGCTTTTTGTTTGTTTGTTTTTAAAACAGGTTTCAAAATTTTCCTTTGTATGCTTGAAATCTGTAAAGTTATTACTTTTTTTTAAGGTGCCTATTACTATATAGCCACATAACCTGCATTTATAGTTTGCTTCTTTAAATAAAATTCAAATAATTTTGACTGTATTTATAGCACACTGATTAAAATCTTGTGGCTCTCAGATATGATATTTTTATTATGAACATATGTATCAGCATTCTTATAAATTCAAGCATTTCAGGCTGCTACTGCCACAGTTGATTAAAAGGTTCATTTACATGACCCTTCATGTGTGTGCTCTGTATTAATGCACTTCAGGACAGAAAAAAAGATGGATGGAATGACAAAGGACACCACCATTCACTACTTCTGCAGGTCCTGGTGGAGCCCATTTTATCTGTTTCTGTAATGCAGGAGCTATCTGTTTCAAAGTTGGCATGAATTGCAAGCACATGCCATAGAGTTCTGACAAACCTGCAGAAGTTTGGATTGCAGGATTGAAAAAAACCACAATTAATAAGAAATGTAATAAGGTAAATAATAATTTTGTAACAGCTATTACTTGTTTGAAATTTTACAGCAGACTAAAAATACTGTAATGACATTAAATAATTATCACATGAAACTGTGATCCAGATTGACAAAAGCAAGGAAAATCAAGTTTTTATTGCTAAATTTGAATGCAATGTTATCTCTGCATCAGCTCAGAGCCCTGTATTGACTTCACTGCCCTTGGATGAACATAAAGGCATCCAAATATAAACACGCACATAAGCCTGAAAACAAAATTATTAAGTGCTGCCACAAATTTTATACTTTTAAGTGGTTGAGTCAGACAGGTAGTTCTCATAAGTTATCCTTTCAGCTACCCTGATATTACCAAGGGATTTTATGAAGGATAATAAAAAGAAAATTACATTAACCAAAGCCTTTGATTGTTTCTTTGAATTTGTTATCATATTCAATTATTCATATTCACGATTATGAGAGTAAAGGAAGGTTTTCTTGAAACAAATGTCAAGTACTTTACAGACCAGTTGGATACACTTAGTGGGATTGTGCTAGAGTGTACTTCAAAACTTTTACTGAAGGGCTATTATATATCCAGAACACTTGAATGCTTCCAGAGGAGCATTTTCAGCCTATCATGAAATTCCATATTTAGAGTATATTATAGGTTCCAGAAACGTAAAAGTCATAAAAGTCTTAATAAAAAAATCATCACTCGTCCTGCAAAGTACTTAGACGTAATGCTAGTAATATTGTTTTTATGTATCAATAGCAGCAATAATAATCATATTTCACTCTTTTAGAGCAATCCTTACCTACTGGTCTTAATGGTCTTTAACAAAAGATGCAAAAATTATTAACTTAATTTCAGAGATGAATAGAGGGATGAAGCAACTCCGGGATTAAACAATGTGTCACTGAGAGAATTGGAAACAAAATGCAGGTTCTTTACTTTCAATTCAGTGCTCCAGCCATACAACACAATTGTTTTTCTGAAACTGAATTCTTCTAAAGAAAAAAAAAATACCAATCCTGTTTGTTGCACTGGAAGGTTGGTTAGTGGAATAAAGAGGTTAGCATACTACCCGGTTCCTTTTGTCCCAAACCATAAGCTGTTATTAATTCCTACTTATGCCTAAAGAACCTGCCTCTATCCTCAGGACTAGAGGGATAGAGCAAGAAGAGTCTCTGTCATCCTCCATTCCCTTCTCAGTCATCCTTTTGAAGAGAGCAGCGGGACAGAAGCGTCACCCTTGAAGTCAGCAGCCATCCCGTGTTGTCTCACAAGATGATGGGTGCAGGAAAGATGGCATTATTGGTCAATGAGTGGTCTACTAATGCCCTTCTCAATTTACAGTCAGGAAACAACTGCCTTCATAGTGAAATATCAGAGGAAGTCTAAATGCTCCTGGGAAAACAGATGATCTGAAGTAGTCTACAAAAGCCAGCCAACACTCCAGAACCACCGCAGAGGAAAGGGAAATAATCCCTGGATACAGAACTGGCTTTGTGCCTAGAGAACCATGGAGCTGCCATCAACTGCTCACTGTCCAGTATACTGGGAGCCCATCATTCTATGCTGACAAATCAGACTGGTCACCAAAGGATTCTTTTGTAATGTATCTGAGAAAACTGATGGTATCAGTCATAGCACAGCCTGCAGGCATTACAATGTATAATGTCCCTCTCATCCCTTCTCCCATCATCTAGAGAACCATGGAGCTGCCAGCATGCAGCAGCACTACAGGAATGGGATGGAAAATCTTAAAAGCAGGCAAGATTGTTAAAATAGTGATTTCCCTGCGGTTGGACGAAAAATTTTCTGAAGATCTTGAAAAAACAGTGTTTTCTTCTATGGATATATATGGTCTTACTAAATGTTAATAGTCTAGAAAAGCACCACTGAAAACTTCCACCATATTGTAACAACCAGAGGCCTTTTATAACAACAAATACACTGAATGGGAAGTAGAACTGTCATAAGAGAAGAAAAGTTTACCTGCAGCTGCTGATCTAGTTCTGGAAATGCCAAAGAGAAGCTTTCAGGGGAAGCGTCATCTAAAAGGTAAACACAGTATTAAAAGTTATTGTCTACCAAAGAGGGCATTTCAAGTAATCTGTTTAATGAAGTTCTACATTGCATATATGGACAGTAATATTGGGATCCTGAAAACACCTCCACATCTTATCTTTTACACTTGAGATGCCTCAGTAGAATCCTTGAAAATACTAGTGGATTGGTAATAAGAAAAGTTTATGTTCTGGAAATAAAGTCTATTTTGCATTGCAGTGATTAAGAAACCAAGCAGTTGGTCCATTAGAACATGTGATAATTTAATAAAACAAATAAATCTAAACTGTTTTTCTTCCTGAACTCTCTCCACTACACTGCTAAGTAAAGGAGTGTCTTAAAGGACTTTACCTGTCAATTACAATCCTTATGGGCTAGAGTTAGTTCAATCATGACAACAAACCAAGCCGTGTTTTTATTTATTTGTTTGGGATTTTTTTTGGTTTATTTTTAGAACAGGCTTCCAGCAAAGGTGGAACAGATTGCGCCAGTTATGTCAGGGTTGTGCTGTGGACACCTGCCCACTAGTAGCTGGACTGAGATCAGAAACATGAATCACACTTGGTAGCGCTAGTGCAATATTTCTTTCTCAGTGACTTTCACACTCTCAGTTCTGCATTGGACTATGATGACTGTTTATTCATCTTACTACAGGTTATGGGAGGTGAGGAGAGTGTAACTATTAGCTTACAGTCAGTTATTTGTAATGTGTCAAAATTAAATAAGGATGGCTCTTCCAGAGAAAATTGCTAACACAGTTCAGATCCTGCAACCTGCTGTGCACTTGTAGACTTGAACATAGCAACAAAACCCCAACAGGATCAAGAGGACCTCATATCAAAGAAGGATTCTAAAAGAACACAGACTAGGATCTAAATTATTTCTCAAATATTTGATATCTCTTTCTCCTGGCCTCTGTGGTGATAAAGCAAAGGAGGTTGGGGGGAAAAGTAAAATAAGTCACCTTAGCCTATGAAAAATAAACATACTGGCTAACACATAGCCACAACCTTACTCAGTGATATAGCTAGAGCTGGGCAGCCTCTGGGAAGAGATGTACAGAGAAGAAAAAATGTATAGTGATACAAAAGCAAAAGTTCTTGAATTTCCTCAGGAAATAAAGTGAAGTTCCTGTATTTTCATGGAGCAGTTGTCTTGCTGTATTATCAAAAGGTCATACCCATGTCATATGAGTGTCCCCCTTCTTTCTTCATAACATATGTCAAGCATGCCCATTCTGGAAAATACTTAAATTGCTTTAATTGTACAGAATTTTATCATGCTAATATGCAAGTGTTTATCTTTAATTTGCTATTGCTTTCTTGTACAATATATAAATAGACTAATATTCTAAAAGAAGAAAGATGAATCATATGGCAAGGCTAAAAGGAAGGACAGAATAAGACTCAGTCTGACTAGGGCTACAGCTGCTCTACAGGTATTTGGCTGAATAGCTGTTAAATATTCTGACAGAGATATTGGACCAGAGTCATGGATGGCAGTTAAACTGCTATTTGCTTTGGCAATTCCAGCAGTACAATCTTTGGAACAGTAGCTTTATTGAGGTATCTTGAACATCTTTAAAATTCAGAAAAAATAGCAAAAGCAACACTCCAAATGATTAAAAAAATCTGAAGAAACCTCAGAGAGTAATTACATTTTCACAGCATCAGCTATTAATAAAAAATAAAATTAATGCAGAGTTAGAATATTGGAAAATAAATTGGATCATACTCTGAAAGGAACCAGTTAAAATTTTGGAAGTACTTTATAAAGGATGGAATAGAGAAATTAATGTAGAGGAAATCCTTTCAATAAACAGATGTTCCCTGCTTATTTTTTGAACTCAAGTGACTGAGTCAATGGTACTAAAAATAGAATGCACTGGTATCCTAACCATTATGACATACCATAGTACATTTTATAATGGGCTTGCCCTAGCATCTATTGAACAGCTGCTAGGGTTTTTTTTAGTTATACTAGTTTAAGACTTGTTTAGATCATCATCTGATGTGCAGAACATCATCGAGAAATGCTATACAGACTTCAGTCTGTAGTTTTGAAATTTTGAAATTTGTAGTTTTTTGGTTTTACAGGTTTTTTCAGTAGTTTCAGTTTTGAAATTATCCTGAGTTCCTAATTCTCTTCGGCTCTTCTAAGAATTTCAGCTGAAGTATTTAGTTTACAAAAATTAACAGAAATCCTCATAGCTAACTACAATCTTGTTTTTCACAAGAAGAACAACAAATGGCTTTCCCCACAGCTTTCAGTAAAATAAATCATTGCCCCAGATCAGTATTTCGCTGTTGTCAAAGTAACAACCACAACAATAACAATAAAAATCACTTGATAATAATGAAAACTTAAATTTCACACAAGGGGAAAGCAAATGAAAGCAGTCATTCACCTCCTAAAACTTTTTTGAGGATGTTTTCAGGATGTCAAGAGGAAAGATAGAAACTCTTGCATTTTTTTCTGAAGAATTTCTATTGCCCTTGCCAGCAGAATACCAGTCAAAATCACATTGATTTCTAGTCTTAAAAATCTATTGACTCTGAAAATCAGATACAAAAACGTTTGAAATGCCTATGAAATTATTCTGAAGATCAAAACATTCTCAAAACTATCTCCTGATCTGTGTTTGTTATTTTCTATTCTAACTCTCCTTAACTAGAAAAAAACCTCCGAAATACCTCTTTTCCCCCTTTTTCTTAATTAACTATCAATTTTTAATGAATATCTAGATTATTATAAGGAATCACTTATATAATTAAAAACCTCTTTTATTATAGAGTTAGTGGCTTTTCTGTACCACAAATTCCTGAAAATATCTAGGCTGATTCTTCACCAGTTACAAACACCATCTTATCCCTATAGTCACTATAAAGAAACCATAAGGAAAAATGATTTATAATTTAAGCTGAATGTTGAAAACTTATTTTGTTTAAAATAAAAATATATTTAAAAAGCAGAGACAGCAACTCACTGCACCTGAAAATGAGTCAAGATTTGGGTCAAAAGGAAATAAGAAAGAAGGAAAAATGTGTATATTATGGCCATACAAACAAAGTCAACAGCACTATCCTGTGATGTGAAAGAATCAGATCAGGGATTTCATTACAGACACCTAAGTTCATGTATCTGTAATATGATTTCTAAATGAGTAGCATTTCCTGATTTCCCATATATCCCAAATCTAATTTTGAAGTTCTATATTTAAAAATGCCCTAAAGACACGTACCCTGACTGCAAACCCATGTGTTTTAACCAAAGACTCAGTTGGTGTGAATGAAATAGTGTGATTTTCATGTTTGTTTCATCAGGTTCACATGCTTGCTTTGCCTGCTGCTGAAAACTGTCATTTGTAACAAAGAGGATTTGAACTCTATGAACACTGATTGTCTTTGCACAAAGAGCTCACTATTAGCCCTGAGGCAGCTGATTTATGCTAAAGTTGCACATTTGATTTCTGGAAAGCTTCACTTATTTAATCATGTTCTGGCCTCCTGGAGATTCCAATATCCCAGACCTCCATCACTGAACTCTATGAACACTGATTGTCTTTGTACAAAAAGCCCACTATTAGCCCTGAGGCAGATGATTTATGCTAAAGTTGCACATTTGAGAATGAAGCTTGATTTCTGGAAAGCTTCACTTATTTAATCATGTTCTGGCCTCCTGGAGATTCCAATATCCCAGACCTCCATCATGTAGTCCAATGAGAGAAATCCTTCACGTGTTGCTGTCTGACTGACACAATGTCTGGCACAATGAAGTGTAAACCCCAATTTTTTTCCTCTATGGCTGTTGCATTTAACTGAACTGTGAGCTAAAGGCAGTAAATCCATTAAGAACAACACCTGATTCACTTCCAGTATAATATTGAAAATTAGTTTCTCTATGATCTTCACTAAGATAGACAAAAATAGAATATAAAAAATTTAAATGTGTTGAAAGCACATTAAGGTTGCTAAATCAAGCACTTGAAACTTAGGAAATGCCAATCACAGCTCTGCTTCCTTGAGTAACTGAGTTATGATCCAGTATTTAATTATACAGTCAGGTCCTATTTTTTTTTCTCCTACATGTGTGGGCCAATGTATTCAGATCGCTTCCTTCTAAATTAAAGAATTAAATTGGTAACATAAGTAGGCTGCTGTCCTGTAAGTGGATCAGCGCTTGCACAGGAAAAGTGCTCAAACAGAACTGCAAGCACCACAACTTGCACCAACAGCAGTGTCAAAGTGCCTGTCAGGGTCCAGCCTTGGCCCTGGGAGGGCAGTGAGATCCAGCAGCTCTGGGCCTGGATACTGGCAGACAAGCATAGACTCATCAGATTCATCCTGGAAGGCTCTGTGGCTAAGTGACTGCAACTTGGCACTGCTTTGTGGAGCTCCAGGGTTTCTATTCACAGCCCTGCCTGACACGACCTTACACAACCTCGCAGTTACCTCACTCGTAAAATAGTGGGGAACGGCCACTGCCCCACCCAGGAATAGGATGTGAGGGCTTGCTCAATAATAAGAGTTGTGGACCTCCCAAAAATAGAAACAGTCCATAATGAAAGAGATAAGAGCAAAATCCTACTTCATATAGCTTCACTCAAACCTAAGCATCCTCAGATGAATGTCCCTTTGAGGCTGTCTCACCTGATCTCCCATCCAATTCCCCAAGAACCAAGCCCTGTAGGTTGGGTGTAGATTAGGAAATTAGCTCTGTAAATTTTAGCCATATGTTTTAGCAATCCTCACTGGTTGTCAGTCAATGTGCTGAAAAACCTCCGGAGCCATCACAACCAGTATGAGGGTGGAGTAGCAACTTGAAGGTTGCTTTTGAAGAAGCAACTGCTGCAAAACAGTCTAGCATGATAAACTAGAAAAGCAAAAAATTCCTTGTAGTCTCTAGGATAATGAGCATAAAGAAGAGTAAAATAAGTAATTTTGCTATGCTTGCAAAAATATGACACTATTCCACTGTCTGTCAGGTTCATTAGAAGATGTGTGTTTTGCCTTTGTTGTCAGTGATTTTTCTGTAAAGTGGTGTCAGAGGTATACAATTTCAAATTAACGAACTCACAATTTCAGACCCAGTCATTTATCACCACATATCATGAGCAGAACTTTTCAGCTAGATTCAAGCTTTTATTTGAAGAGGCAAGGTAAGAGAGATGAACCTATAAACCTTCTCTTTGAACCATTACACAAAACAAATCCAGCTGTCTAAATTCCATGAAGTTCATGTATTTTTAAGATTGATAAAAATTAGGACATACTGAATTTCACCAGTAGCATTAAATTGATTCTGACAAACCAGAATGAATTTTCAACTTTGGAACACTTATTTGAATCTTGGAACACTACATTCAGTTCAAGCTGCATTGTTTGCAGCACAAAACTGCACAAGTTTCCAAGTGATGTAAGGTAGGTTGAAATAGTATGTTTCCAATTCATTTCTTTAAAATGGTACTTTAAGTCAAACTGCTGTGATACGGTGCACAGACACACCCTGGGAAACTTGTGTTAGTGAACTTGAGTGAAAGGGCCAAACATAGACATTTATATATATGGGAATAGGAGATACACAATAAAACTGTCTTCTTATATAGCATCCTCTGATGGGCTGCTCCTGAGACTTTTAAGGAACTGATCACTCTACTATCACATTAAAAATACCTCACAAAGCTGGCCAGAATTTCAGTCATCAGGTGTTGACTGACAAATAATGTAAGACACATTTTTTCTTGTACACTCAGGATAGGCCAGCTCTGGTTTTGTAGGTCAGTTAACACAAAGTAATTTCTTCTCATAAGCTGAGAGTAGTTTTTCCTTTCACTGCTCCTCACACCCACTGCTTGGTTACAATCCTAGCCAGTGAGATAATCGCCACCCAGAAGAAGCATTCCATTTCCTCTTTTTATATCCAGTTATGCTGTCAGTTCCTCCTAGTAAGCAGTTGCACAGCCCCCGGAAGGAGAATGCAGCCTTTCTTGGCGAAATGTGTCACTGTGCCTTTCAAGTGAGGTAGAATTTAAGGAAAAGCTTAAGTCAGAGAGATTTCCTCACCACTTAGCCCTTGCCAAGAACTTATTGTATCCTAGCAGTGCATGGGCTTCAGCTGATGCTTTGCTATCACACATCAGCTAACTCCTGTTTGCACTGAAAACAAATATCCTCATCAAGGAGAAAAAAAAAGATGAAAAAAATATAAAAGAGTAAGGGGAAAAAAGCACCTACTACAGAATACTTAAAGGTCTATCTTTTGAATGTTTTTGTAGATCATCCTAAAAACAATGTGTTAAATACTTGTTTGTACTCTCTTGATTCAATTATGGTTTGCTGGAAATTTTCACACCTATTAAAAGCTTATTTCCTTTGCCCTCTTGAAATATACCTAACATAAAAGCACTTGAAACTCTTATGGTATGGTAAAATAATGATGTTGGTTTAGACCTCCTGGTAACTGCAAATGGAAGTGATGCAGAGGGGAACACGGCACTCACTCTACTGGTTGCTGGTTTTTTTTTTTTAATCAGTACTCATGAAGATTCTCGATTGCATACTGTAGGAACATTTGTATATATAGAATAAAGGATTCAACATTTTAACAATTTTAACATTTGGAACAATTTAACAATATATAGAAGAAAAATATTACCTTTCTCTAATTGAGTTTATTTTTGTAAACGTTAAGAAGGAGGCTGGAATTATTAGCAGGATAAAAAAGTAGAAAATAAAATATGATGCAATGTTAAGGAAGTTAGGCTTCCTGCCTTTCATGTCCCCTTCTTGCAAGCTATTCACAACCTTGTCATTTCCTACTGCCGTCTCTTGTCACAAACCACTCTGCTCTCTTTGATTTTCCCATGGTCTCAGCTTTCCCTGACTTGTTTTCAGTGTCTCACATTAGCATTCTTTTTTCATAATTTGTAAGAGCACGCCCCTTTCTTTTACATCTTTCTTCAAGACCTATCTATGCCATAATTCCTGCAAGAAATTTACCATGTGACTGTATCTTGAGAGATGTGAATGATTCCTTACTGCTCTCTGTAATAACAATGTAATTACCAGGTTATTTTAATTTATGAAAAAAGGACACATAGATTATCACATGTTTCTTTATATTCCTTGTTCCAATCTTTCTTTGTCACTCATCTTTATGAATTGAAAGTTAGGTTCAATAATATATGAAAATGTTTGGTTTTTAATTCCCTTGGCTAGGGGATGAGATTGTATCTCAGTATAGTCACTGAAAATTAGTAGTACGCAACAATTAGCTAGGAAAGATAATGCATATTCTAAAATATTTCTAAACCAGAAAATTGCATTCAAGCTGAGATTCTGTTCACACAAACCTCAGGCACCAACCATCACATTGTCCTACAATGCAAAGAGTCCCATAAAGCTTATAGGGTTTCAGTTGTCCTTATACCTCATGCCATAAACACAACTCAGCCCTGACTGCAGGCATTCACCTTTAGCAAAAGCAACAGCCAACTTTTTTTGGATGCTTTTAAGCTTCCCCTTTGATTTATTTAATTTTGACTTTCACTGTTTGACAACAGCTCTCTGGTCCTTAATAATACTGAAGGTGCAAACCAATAATATTTATCTACTCCAAAGGGTCCATGTGTGTACAGGGTATGTTTGGGGAAATTAATACTCCCTCAGCATGAGCTGATAGGATAAACATCAATGAAATTTCTGCTGCTGAGAGAACGTGCCATGTGGGGCACCTGTTTCCTGAAACCTTTCACCAAGCTGGGCATGTGTGGCACTTTCCAACCTTCCCCCTATAAAAAGTCTCTTCCTCCTCTAGGCTCATGCAAATATGTCCTTTTACTTTTCCTGTTTTACAATTCCACAAAATCAGACATACTGCACATGCAGGTAAGTTTGATAGTTAATTACAGTCCTAATGGCATTCCACAAACCACTGAAAGGAAGTAAAGATAGAAACTGTCAATCTAGAGAATCTAGTCTAATGAAATTGTTAATGGAAACACTAAAAGTTATCAGACAGGAAAACTGACCACAAGCTACCACTCATGAAAAGAAATCCATCCGTTACACTGGACTACATTTAATATTGTAAACACTGGAAAGTTAATGTAAAATTTAAAAGCAGTTGTGGTTTAAATTTAAAAGCACTGTGTTTTACTCCATAAATTAAACTGTACCTGGGGAATCATTAAGGCTGAAGGCAATTCGTACCGGCTTATCAGCAGGTACCCTGGCGGTGGTGATCATGTGGGCACTTGAGTCAATGCTTTTACTTGTTTGCTCCAGCTGCAATAATACAAAAAATATATTTATTACAGAGCATGTGACATCATTCAACAAATGAGTTTTAATGCTTTTCATGCACTCACAGCTGCCTTTCCCATCCTATCTAGATGTTTAGAATCAAAGTCAAGGGAGCGCCATTTCACTTTTCCATTTAAAAAGAATTTAAGTGAAATTCAGTGCAGAATCAGACTGCTTTTATTTTTGCTATTTATAGATTAGAAAGAACGATGGCAAAGGAAGCTGCCTCTCTTCTCACCTGCTTGCTCCCCGCCATTGCCCCTTCAGCAAGCCTTGACTCGTGGCAATACTGCCTGGTTCTGAAGGTGAAGAAGGAAGAAGGGGTGGGGAGTTGAGAGTAACATGACCCCAAGGCTGCCCTGTGATTGGAACCGTGCACACCACTCCACATGGTGTCAATGAGGAGGCACTCATCCTCCTACCTTCCACCCATACTCCCCCAGTCCAACTGCGTCTGCAAGTCACACACTTCATGACCAAAAAAATTCATGGGGTTTCCAAACCTTGGTGGTGATTCTTCAGTGGAAGCCTGTGCAGGTGTAGGGGTCTGTCTGCATGGATTTAGCTCCTGGGTTAGGACCTTACTCAGTCCTCTGTTTTTCTTCTGAGACCATCGATTCCAAAACGTGATTTTACCGCGATGAAACCCTGTCCATTAAAAAAACTGCTAGTTCATTTCAAATATCACACTAAAGAACTGTTGAGCAATAAAAGAATGAGCTACTTTTGATCTCTAACAGTGTAATTAAAACATCTCTGTGCCCTGAGAAGTTGTACACTGAGCTCTACTATGTACATTTAACTTTTTGAATGAATAGTTTTGGTTAAACTCTATTGAGTAGCTGAATGCAAACAATCCCCTTGATTATCTAGCACAAAGCTGCTAAAATTCAAAGATACTAATCTTCTGATTAGCACCATGTGTGGAGAATGTGAAGTCAGTGGGACTTTGTGCATGCAAAAGATCTGCCCATAAAGAAATTATTTTAGGACTCTGGACTGCTATCCAGCACACATTGTATTCATACCAAAAATGTGGACAATTATGCTTTCAAATTACCATAAAAACTTCTTAGGGAATTAGAAACCAAATTCATCAGGAAAATACAATGGATTTACTAACTCACTGTCAGCAGACAACAAAGCATTTAGCTGATGAAAACAAGAGCCAGTTTCCTAAGCCAACAGTCTTGCAGTTTTACAGTAAAGTACCTATTGTACTGCATGAAAATTCTACCAAGTCATTCTAACTCATACTGAATTATTTTGCAGTCTCAAAAAGTCAATAGAACAGAACACTGTTTCAGGAATATAATTCTCCTTGGTGGTGTACAAGTGAATCAAACACTTCTCTGACATCAATGCCATGCAATCAGTGGAAGAGGATAAAATTTGCATTGGGTCCATTAATTTCAGCATTTCTTGTTTATTTGCTTGGTCTTTCTTTATATTTAGGTAGCAGTGTGATATGGTTACTTGTTATTAGAAGAGCATAATCTTTTCTTACAATAACAACAAATAATCTAAAATCCTTACTTTGAATAAATTTTATTTCAAGCTGAAAGTGTCTCTTTCTGCTAGTATATGAAGGATATCAGTGATTGCTCTTAATTTCCCATTACTAGTATTCAAGACCCACAAAAATGGATCTGTTATCTGTGGAGCAGAGGCAAAGAAAAGCCAAATAAATTGCAGCCATGTTTTCAATTCAGCAAAAGACCCTTGGAGTCAACTGAAATATTTTATTTTGAAGTGAATTGCATCAGAGTAAATAATTTTTACCTTCTGAGCATTCTTGATCTCTTCCTCACCCTGACTTCAAAAGAAACATCTGAGTCATCTCATTGTTTTTAAAACACAAAAAATTACCAATGCAAAATTCTTAAACATATTTCCCTTCCTTACTTCCCAATACAAGGTAAAGAAAAAAACCTCTCCAAATAAAGAGATTTTAAGTGATAAGCAAATCCTTAAACCAAGGCTTTTCATTGTTCTGTGCTGTTTGTACACTTTCTCTGACACTGACTGTCTCAAGTGGTCTTCCACATAAGAGTACACTTCACATTTCACATCATAGACTAAGAAATTAAAAGGATGCCTTCTGCTAGAGTTTTTAAAGTTGCCATAACAATATTGCTACAAGACTGTTTTTTATCCCAATCACACACTCTGTGGTGTGCAATGTTTTTAAATTAACTCTTTTAACCATCTACTCTGTGAGGGCAAAAGTCAATACCCTTTCAGTAAGAAATGCTGTATTCTATTGAAACACAAGAGAAAGTATTAATTTTATTCTAATTCAGAAAAAAAAAAGAAATCTCATCCTTATACACAGCATTTACCCTGTTATCTTTTTTTTTTTATATTGCATTTATCCCTTCTCTCCTTTTTTTGCGAAATCCTCAAGCTCTTCATCACAAAAAGCAATCACAGAGAACAGAGAGGGATGGAAAAAGCCTGTGTGCAAACAAGGTGATATTATGAAACATGCAGACCAACTACCCCTAATTCCCCACATGCTTTCTCCATGAATGAAGAACAGTGTCTCTGTAGACAGAGATGAGAGTGAGTGGGCAACCTGGAACTTAATCAGATTTAATGAGCAGCTCTCATCTTCCCAACAATTGCCTATAGAGCTGGCTGGCTGCTGTTCCTCTGTAAAAAACCTGCAGCAGAACTCAGATTAAATGCTGTTACAGCTCTATGGATTTTTTCACACCTGTTGCCTTACCTCACTTAGCGGAGTGTCTGCACTTGTATAATCCGGGGCCAGCCACTGCCTTGGCTTGTCGTTGCCTTTCTGGAGTAAAGCTTCAATAAAAGAAAAGGCTGCACCTGCTGCATAGCAACAAACTGACAAGGTCTGAGAAGCTGAGACAGCTGTCAGGGCAACATGCTGCTACCTGCACTTCCCATAGGCTTTGCTGTCCCAAAAGATAACCCTTTTCCACAATTCTGATTTTCCTTCCTCTCCTTGCCAGGGATGAGGAATTATGATGCTGTCACGCTTCAGGGAGGAAAAAATCCTTCTGTTACAAGCATTATTAAACAGCAAACTGTGGTGAGCCCAAGATTTTTAATTCATTAGTCCTGGCAAACCTGAAATACAAACAGACTTGCTTCATAGGACAGGAATGTTTTCAGCATGACCCAATCAGTGTCTGTGTCTATTCCAGCAAACTGGCAAAGATAGCATGACTCCAGTCAGCAAAAATGTCTGCAGCTCCAATCAGCTTGGGCTGACACTGCCAACTTGGACTGGCTACAAGCACACTCTCAAATGATAGCAGTGACTATCAAAGCTAACAACAACTGATGGACTTGGCCTCTCGGGCTTCCGATCCTGTTGGCTTTGACTAAGCCAGGCTTGTTTAAGAGAAGCCACTAGCCCTTCTCTTCTGAGGAGATAACAGCAAATCTCAGAATGCTATAAAAAGCAGACATAAAAGCAGATGTATTTATAGACCAGTGATGGCAGTGATAAATGAAGCTGACTCAGAGATTTGACTGAACTCAGAGGATTTCCTAGTGTGATTTCAGATAGCTTTTTTTCTTTTTTTTTTTTTTTCAAACTCCTGGCAAGGAATTTATGGGATAAATCTTGAAGTATTACTAGAGATTAATTTCTTCAGTTTAAAGTTTTATTTTCTGTTGTCAGAAAATAAAAGTTTAATCCCTGTCATGCACATGTACTTCCTACATGACTTCTTTGATTGAGTGCTACCACTGTCATTGGAACAAGTGGAAAAAAATGAAGAACAACTACAGAATGATTTTACAGAATATCTTTATTGTTTTGTGCTTGAAAAGGGGGTCTCCTTCAAAATGTACATGAAGGTATATTTAATCTTTAAATTCCTAATGGAAAGAGCTTATCTAACCCAGATCTATATAGACACATTCCTAGATTTCCTTGGCTGAGCTGACACATAGAGAGGTTGCTGGACAAATAAAGACATGAAGGGCTAAAGTAAAATTTTCATCCTCCCTCACTCTCTCACCTTCTGTCCCTAGACCAGGACTGATCTCACCAGGGCAAAACTCTGGAAGCTGCCAGTTGTAGCCTCAAAAGACCTTTTTTATACTTCAAAATTCCCAAACTGCAAAAATATCCTACCTTTACTCCAGGAATGATGTGGGGAGAAATTGGACAGCTACACCATTAGTCAGGTATCCCTTGAGGCTGTCTTTAACTGCAGTGGGATTTCAGAGCTCTGGCCCACACAGCTGGTGGAAAGCTGGACTGCACCTATGACTGCACTGACCATTTTCTCTTCTCTCAATGTGTTTCTGACAAGATTGAGGGCTCCTTTGGAAGGAGCAGAAGACAGATTTGCCTCTGATCACAACCATTACAGCAAATAACATTCTACAGCTCAATATTATTAGCTCATTATTATTGATGTCCAGCTCCACATCCAATTACTGTGAAAGTATTGGAAGATACAGAAAATCCTGGCTCCAATGGAGTCACAAAAATATTCTGCATCAGTTTTCACGGAGCCAGAGTTTTCCCCAGATCATAAGATATTGCTTTGTATGGACAAATGATATTCAGATGGTGTTCATACTTTCATTACATGCCGTTACAGTAAAGCATAAGAAAGGCTCTCTATATGAAATCTTAAGACAGGCAAAACTTCCGGTAGCCATGACAGCAAAGGTCTTGGGCATAAATGATGTCTGAAAAGGGCAGGGTCCTTTTTTCCAGATGGCTCTGACACTCCACGTTTCCACACTGACACTTCAATTGCACTCACTTTAAATAGCATGTGCACTTGCAAATTACATAGATCATCATTTTATGTGTTGTAGCCACTACATCCATGTGGTTTTTTTTAATTTTACTGTTTCTAGTTAAATCTGTATTTTTCACAGACTCATGGAACACAGAGCTTTTAGGAAGGGACCTCTGGAGATCACCCTGCCCAACCCCTGCTGCCAAGGCAGGGTCACTGGAGCAGGTGACACAGGAATGCATCCAGGTGGGTTTGGAATGTCTCCAGAGAGGGAAACTTCACAAGACTCCTGGGCTCCCTGTTCCAGTGATCTGCCTCACTCCATGGAACTCCATGTTTTTCCTCATGAAGAGGAGTTTTATCCATGTTTGGATAAAACTTCTTGTGCAGTTTCTCTGCCTCACTCCATGGAACTCCATGTTCTTCCTCATGTTTGGATAAAACTTCTTGTGCAGTTTATGGCCATTGCTCCTTGTCCTGTCACTGGGCACCACTGACAAGAGCCTGGCACAATCTTCTTGTCATCCTCCCCAGAAATATTGTATGGATTATTGAGATCTCTCATCTCATCTCATCTCATCTCATCTCATCTCATCTCATCTCATCTCATCTCATCTCATCTCATCTCATCTCAGTCTGCCCCAGACTAAACAGGCCCAGCTCCCACAGTCTCTCCTCCTCAGAGATGCTCCAGAACCCTCATCATCTTTGTGGCCTTTGCTGGACCATCTCCAGAGCTCTGAATCTTTCTTGTCCTGAAGAGCCCAGTTCACAGTTACACTGTGTGAAGCTTCTGTGAAGTGTGCTGCCTCTGAACTGTGGGCTGAGATCCAAAACTGCACAAAGCAAAAGGCCCTGATTTGCATTTAAATGTCAGCTCTGTGCTATACACAATGATTAGTCACCTGAAACTACTGCTTTATGGGAGGTGGCATATTCTTAAAATGTGAGACTGTTATAGCATTCTGCATACAGGAGATCAAATCTGAAGCACCAGGATGAATGATTTGACTGTAATTATCAACTATCTATTCTTGGGATGATTGTGCTAAAACTCTCAACAACATGCACTCAAACAGCATATTTCAAAAAGTTCTTTAAATTACTTTATAAGGGTAAACTAGGGAAGATCAATTTTAAAAAATGGGAAAATTGAAGTCCAGGATGCTTCACTTTGTTGACTTGCTCAAATTAATAGTCCAAGGCATTTGGGTAGAGATAAATCTCACAATTCTTCCTTACTAAAGAGGTGATTAAAATAATTGCACCAAAACAAATTACTCTCCAATTTCTTGCAATACAAAAAAATACTTCTTCCTGACAGACTGCACATACACTTTACAGTCATCTCTGTGAAAATTACAGAACGCTGATAACTCCAGGGTGGTTTTTGTTGTTTTTGTTTGTTTGTTTGTTTGTTTTTGTGTAGGAGCACAGCCTGTCCTGTTCCTTTTTCAGAATACTCTTAGTAATCAGGTTCCTGGTATCCAACCAAAATTCTTTTGATCTTGCATCACTTTATGAAACTGGTGATGTGCTAGAAGAGGATATCACATTTTATTAGTCAAAAACACCTTAAAGGAATATACTCTAAATTAGGAACACTGGGACTTACTGATATTCAGTAGTGGAAACATGCAAATTTTCAAAAAGCTTTAGGATGAAGTAGCAGTTATCCCACAGATGTTAAAAAAGCCAATATCTGCAATCTAATAAAACACCTGTTGCCTTCACTTTTTAGCTGTGCTACTTCCAATTCATCTCAGTGTCCTAGTATAAGTAGTATTTTAGTAGCATATGACCTCATTCATGCTAAAATGGTGTTTTGCAGATTGCCAGTCACTATTTAAAAATACACTTTAAATATTCTAGCATATGGAAGATGTTCCAAGAAGAAATCAACTAAAAAAAATATATTGCCTGAAATTACACAAAGAGGAAAATCACTCACAATCCAACATCTCATATCCTGACAACTGGAGCAACCAACTGAGTATTTCCTTAGTGTTCTCGGGTGTTACCTCTGGTCTCCTTGCCTAGGTAGTGTTTTAACACAGGTAAAATAATGTACCTTCACCAAAGTTCTACTGTCATGGATGGCTGACCCCCACCAGATTAAATTAAATCATTAACACCAGCAGGAAAATACATTGTGCACTGAGTTATAAAAGAGGACATAAGCAAATTTATAATTAATGGCAAACTGATATGCAATAGCTGAATTCACTTACATAGGATCATGCAGGTTTAATAAAGGAGATCATTGCCAAGAAATGAAAGATTGGCTTAATCAAGGTAATGTGGATTTATTGGAGCTGAACCCAGCAATTCAGCAATTTTTACACCTGCCTCAAGATAAACTGCAAATAACTACATTGTGAATTATTTGAAAACCTGGTTGGTGAAAAACTCTGTCACTTCCACAGCAAACTCCAGGCAGAAACTGTGAAAAGCTAATTCTGCTGAAAGAAAACTGAAGCCTTTGAGATAGGATGCTGCCAAAGATCCTTGTGAAACTCTGCATGGAAAACAAGATGAAAGTTGAAGTTAGAAATATTACTGGAAAAGCTTCACTATTGTCAGAAATCAACAGGTGCAAATTTACACACTTTATTCACATCAGCATAGAGATGAAAATAACCTTTAGAAGCTAATTATGGGAAGAATGATGGTGGGTCATCTCAGCAGGGAATGCTGAAGGAGGACACAGTTAGATAGTGTGCAGCAATTCACTGGGAGGTCAACAGCTGAATGTTCAAAGCCAGCATTGGCTAGCACTGGCTAACTGGAAACATCAGCATTTAAACAAAAATGCATCCATTTTGCTTACCAATTGTGCAGCTAAATTACATTCAGCTTGGTCCTAGATGAGAAAGATGGTTCTCTCACGTCCATGGATTAAGTGGATTAATCACTCCATTGCAACTGGACTTGCTGTTCCTGAAGGAAATGCTTGGCTTATCTCATTTAGGAGCTCACCTGAAGAGGACATTACAAGATATTACAGCCTCAGCTGTTGATGATGGCTGAGGTCATCATGCTATCATGGATACATGCACAAGACTTTCAAGGCAGCACAATATTTAATCAAGCTTTGCTGCTCTGAGGAAGATACCAGCATTTAGAAGAATGTGACAAAATCCCAAACTGCAGCTGGTATTCTGGCAGTACTTGACCCCTCACTACTGATTTAGCACTGAAACTGCCTTCAGTAATACTGGAAAAAGGGGCCAAGGTGGAGATAAGGCAGCACTTTTCCATGAGAAAGAACCACATAGAGTGTGGCATAGGGGCAAGAATGGGCAGAGACTATGGGGTGGAATTAACACCACCATCAAAGCCCAAC